ACTGGTTACAAGCAACAGCTCAAAGCGATTGTCCTGCTGTGAGGATTAAGGTGTAAACGAAGGCTGCGAGAAATCAAAAGATCAGCAAAAGTTAATCAGCAAGGCAGCATGAATAGGCACAAAAGGATCGAGAATAAGGATAAAAGTGAAAGGATCAGCTTTGTTTGGGAGATGTGCGTGCTGCGATACGCGTGTGTTCCAGGAATAGCACACACACAACACGCCCACGCCTACGCCCAATGAAACTCGAGCCCGCAGGATCTGACAACACTTTGTATACCCTTTACCCGTTGCAAATGGTATGAATGGGGCATGTTGGTTATGTGCAAATGTATGTAACAGGCTGAAGGAAGCATTGCCGAACACAGTGTATTATTAGACATTTTTTAATTGATTTATCGATAGCTGCGCCTATGTTCACAGTATCGATAAATATCGATTAAAAGTACGTGTTTTTTTATATTGCGGAAATAAGTTCTTGACCTAGCTGATCACAATATATTCTCTATTTTATCGATCGATAAATATGCTTAGTCAAGTTACACAGTTTATTAATATTCTTACTTGTATTAAGGAATACCTTACATCTTGTCTGGGTACAGGGTATATTCTAGTCGTGCACTCTCGTTTGAAGCACTCTTGTTTGAAAATTGTTGTCGGTGTTGAGTAATTTGTGTGCCACGCTCACAAATCTGTTAAGCGGTTAACAAAACACAAACAAAAATTGTCTCAGGTTCTACTAGGGGTCTGTTAGGGGTTGAATTAACCCCTAGCACGTTGCTGTTGCTGGCTGAGAGAAGAGGGAGTGGCGGGGGCAGGACTACCGAACGGCGGCTGATCATATGCTGGTGCGCTATTTCTGTAATATCAGGACGGGGCCAGAGTCTCTGTGCGTCTGTGCGTCTGAGGGTAGCGAGACCCACTTGAGTCCCTATGTGGGCAACCCTGCTCGAGGAGAGTTCGAGGCAAAATTGTTATTTATATCATTGTGTGGGCACTGTCAATCTTAATAATGATTTCCTTAATGCCCCTTTTTTCGCTTTACATAAACACAAGTACCCGCAGCTGAGACGATTCTCCTTGGCCAGGATAACCAATGCAATTGCAATTGAAATTCGGCACTCGAAACTCGTAATTCGTAATTCAATTCAATTGAAAGTTCCCACAAAACGCACAAAGGCAGCCATTGAATTGAAGGCTGCTTTGTTTTCTTCCTTTTTTAAATGATGCGTAAGTGATAAATTATTCAGCTGATGTTTTGAGAGAGAAAGAGTGGAAGAGAGGAACAAAAATCTATTGATTTAAATCAAACATATTTTCTATAGAGTATTCAAAGTCGTTGATATTGATAAATGAATCGCATGCGGCTGTGATCCTGTATTGATCTCATACCTATTGGTTTTTATATTTCCTAGTCTTCATCTATATTAGATAGGCTATCTCAAATGATGAGAGAACTTTAGCTCATAGAGAAAATTGAGAGCATCTGCTTTGATTAGAAATTTATTCTAAAACGATTGAAACCATTTATATCGATTAGGGCTATGCCACCCTTAACATAGATAAAGGGCAAGACAATCGAATTCGATAAACAAGCTGATCGATAGTTTTGATATTAATGGAATTTCTGATCCCTACGATCATAATAACTTTTATGGTTTGGTTCAATTGCGCGCTGTTTAAAGAAACTTATCGTGTACATTCAATCGATTAATCGATAGCACACATGGTTGGAGCTTTCCATTGATGAGTGAATTCTAAAAGTTGACTCGATTAATCGATAACATTCATCGATATACATAGTTGAATTGAATTGAATTGAATTAAGATATTAGATACCGCTAGACACGTATAGATAACCAGGACTTTTTTTTTGGTATATATCACATAATTTCGAAGTAGAAAAGCGTTTCTATTAAAAGTAGTTTAAGAAGACCCAAGGATCGAAAATAGATCGTTTGCCAAATAGAAACTTGAATGGATCTTTGATTGATGTAGTCATCGGTCAAAGATCAATTCAAGTTTCTTTTTGGTCTGAGGGCTACCTTTAAACAATTCCAATTTTAGCCATATGCGATGCGATTTGTGTATTGGGATACGAATGGGATGCGTACACTCCATGTATCCATTGGGCCACTTGGAATGCCTAAAATTAGATCAATCGCAACCAAAACTTTTTCTATTTATATGCAAATTAATCAAGCAAGGAGAGAAGAGAGAAATTGAGAGACGCGAGAAAGTGAGAGAGAAAGAGAGGCACATGCGAGGGATACGCGACGGGGCAGCTAAAAAAGATACATTTGCATTTGCATTTACTTTTACGCATACAGATACAGATACAGATACTCAGATACATGCAGCTGAAACAAAAGCTATTAGAGGCGAATTCCTGTTCCTTTGTCTATGCACAAGTTGCCGACAAGAGCTGCTGCCTGCATCCGAAAGATACGCGCAGCTAAATTGCATTTTTATCTATTTTTATATATGCGAGGAAAATGCCGACGTCGCGACGTCAACCAGCCAGCTGAGCAGTGCGGAGGATTATTGAGGAAAATGCATGCACAGTAATTTCCTTCCTGCTGCTGCGCACAAAATAGCTGTAATAATAAAAAATAAAAAAAACCGAACTCAAGCCTCGATGCCTGCGCCTGTTTATGGCCCGACGATCAGCTTTGTGGCTGCTGCTGCTGCTGCCGCTGCTGAGGATGCAGCAAGAAAAGCAGGAAAAACTCCTTGGTCACGGCCACACACAACCAAAGAGGGCCCCCAGTCGGAGTCCCAGTCATAGTCGCCGCTGCAGCCGCAGTCTCAGCCTCAGCTGCAGTTGCAGTTGCAGTTGCAGTTGTCCTCCTCCTATTGCATGTGGCTGCCACAGATCGCTGCTTGCGTGTGTGTGTGCGTATATGTGTGTGTGTGTGTGTGCCTAGCCTGCTGCCTGTCGGTCTGTTGCCTGGTTCAATGAACTGCCGTCACCTCTGGACGCTGCGCTGCGACTGCGACGCGTACAATCCTTTTTCTTTATACCCTTGCCGAGGGCATTTTTATTTTCTTACGATTTAGGTAACGCCTTGAAGGAGAGATACCCAGCGCCACGAAGACTATATATTAGCTAGCTGGATTGTATTTCTGTATCTAATTTCGATCCCACTCTAATAGCTGCCACAGCTGTAATTGAAAAACTATTTTGTTTTTCAAGATATTTTAGCCAAACTTTAAGATACCTTAGATAAGCTCGGGAATTAGAAGACTTTGAATGCCTACAACTTCCATATGAATAATTGGTGGAAGGCGGAAAATTTCTTTAAAACGAACCCTTACAGAATACTTATATATATTTTATGGGAACAATCGTTCGAAAATTAAGTTCGTTTACGAAAAACTTTTGTTTTCTTAAGATCTGGTCATATTTTAACATGCTCATTTGAAAACTGGAATCCCACATAAAGTTACTGATGTCTGAACTGAATTGGTCTTAAGGCCCATCAATATCAAGCAGATCTATATCATACAGTTGCTATAAGCATGTTGCTATAAAAATGGATCACTCATTTGCTTTGCGAGGGTATTCAGTGTTCGGCAACCCGCAGATAAATATTGTGTCTTGTTTTTCTTTGGATTTTTCTTGGCTCACCCTTCACTTGATCTCTTCTGACTTCGCCTCGCCGCATGCCGCTCTCCGCTGCCTGCCTCCAAGGAGCTGTGCAGGAGTTGCTTTCAAGGGTTTCGGTTTATTTCAAGACGTTGCCGATGTCGTTGTTGTTGTTGTTGTTGTTCTTGTTGTTGTCTGGGGGCTTTGGATTTCACTTGGCGTTGGCTTCGCGTGGGGAAATGTAAACATTTCATCGTCGTCATCATAATCGCTGCTCGCCGTTCGCCAGGCTGGTTTATTTTGTGTGTGTGTGTGTGTGTGCGTGTGTGTGTGTGTGTGTGTGTGTGTGTGTATATTTGCCTTTGCTCTTGGTTGCCCCCGCTCCTGTGCGCCTGCCCCCACCCCATACCCTTCTTCTTTGCTTACTCGGCGCGCGTATCCCTTTTTTTTCGCTGGAATGCGCTGATTGTTTACTCAAATAAGTATTTGATCTTCTGTTTTTTGTCACTGTTGATCATTTTTTCTTTTTTTCTTCTTCTTTTTTTCAGATCTTTGCCATCTTTGCGTTACATTTGTGTTTATCTACAAGGATTTTCAAGGAATCGAAAGCGTGTTGATATTTTAACACATTTGAGATCGCGTTTTCAGTTTTTCGACAGAAACTGCAACTGAACAGCTAACGACTCAGTTGAGCAGGATGTGAGATCAGTGGAATATGGAATATATGTGTATATGCATATAAATACATATAATACTTGTTAAACAAATCCTTAATAAATATGGCTTGATATTCACATGCTAAATCTTGTTTAAAACTTGTTTTAAGGCGCAAGTATTTGGGTTTTCAAACTAAATAGTTCTTTCTTAAATTTTACTGTTAGAGAACTTCTTTTTTAAATCCGTAGTAGTTGAACCAGTATAACAGTATGAAACAGATCGAAAGGAAGGCCTTTGTTTTTTTGAGGAAACTATATATACAAATTCCAATAAGGATTATTAGAATGCTTCTCATTTAACACTCATTAGAGCTGGATATAATGTAATTAGTGAACAAAAAGATTTATTATTGATATTTAAAAAAAAAGTATAGTTCCTTGTCTTAGATATTAATTATATTATATTGAGCAACTCACATCTATCTGCTACGTTATAATTTAATAATAATATAATAATAATAATAATAATAATAATAAAAATAATAATAATAATAATAATAATAATAATAATAATAACAATAATAATAATAATAATAATAATAATAATAATAATAATAATAATAATAATAATAATAATAATAATAAAAATGATAATAATAAAGATAATAATAATAATAATGATAGTAATAATAATAATAATAATAAAATTGATGATGATAATAATAATAATAAAAACGATTTAAACTTATGTAGAGTCTAGCACAAATAGAAAGGTAGCGCACTTGACTGGCTGGAGCCTAGCTCCAGTTTGCAGTGGAGGTACAGTCAGCACCACAAACGCTGTCAGTGTAAAGGATCGTGGCAAGGGACGTGCCCTGCAACAAGTCTCAGTCTGTAGCCAAACAGAGAGAGAGAGAGAGAGAGAGACACAGGGAAGGGGGAGGAGATAGAAAGAGAGAGAGCGGGAGAGAGAGAGAGAGTCAAGTGAACAAAGCCAGGCAGACCAAGTGCGCGGCACAGCAAACAAATCGGCTACCACCACTAGCAGCAGCCAGGAGCAGGGGTCGGGGGATCGGTGCAGTGGCAGGGGGCCAGGCAGCGTGGGGGCCTGGACCTTGACTCTGGCACTGGGACTCTGTTGCGCATATCCTCCACGCACGTACACACGTCTTGGGCGATTATTCAAGACTTTATGGACTTGGGTAGAAGGACATTAAAATTGCTTTTACGCCAACTCATCGGCAGGCCAGAGGATCAAACTGGTTCTGCTTTGTATGCCACTCACAGTCGCCGGTCGCCGGTCGCCAGTCAGCAGTCACCAGTTGCCAGTTGCCAGTCCCAGTCTCAGTCCCAGTCTCAGCCCAGTTCCCGTCTCGGGCATAGCCAGAAAGTCGGGCCGCTCCTTTGCCGCATGGACTTGGAATCTGGCGAAACCAGTTTGTGGTCTCCTCTACCTGTTGCCTGGTCGTTGCCTGTTGCAACGCGGCTCCCACGAAAAAAGGGATACTTGTGAGCAAACACACACACCACACACACACACACACACACACACACAAACACACTGGCACACTCGCACACTCAGGCATACCATGACGAAGCCTTGTTTATCCAATTTTATGTGTTTGCCTTTGCGCAATCCTTTCGTCCTCGCCACCATCACAGATTGCCGCACTTACCTTTTGTACGTTACTTTTTGTGTGTGGACCGTGTTCTCCTTTTTGGGTTTTCGTGTACAGTTTCGAGTTCAAATGAAACTACTTGACAGATCTGGATAAAAACTTGGCGCGCTTCAAGTTGGAGCAAACAGGTCTGAAAAATATGTTTAGAGAAAAAATATATATAATATTCAAATCTTTTTGCGAGTCCTTACAAATGATACTTAACATACGATAAAAGCGATATTTTTACCATCTTCCATAATGTGTTCTTAGAGAATATATAAACACTTTTTAAATGATCATTCAAATGTTATTTTTACCTAAGTATTAGTTTTAGACGAGATCTTAAGTATTATATGTGATACATACGAATGACCATTTGTTTATAATTTAGGAATCCGTTCTATAACTGATTTGTAACATAAATAATCAATTCGAATTTAAAAATTAAATATTTCTGTATGATGTACATATTCGATTGAGCACATGATCATTTCGATAAACTAATTTTGTTTAAGTTTTGATTTAGTTAGTCTATTATGATATGTATATATATGATACAGATCATGTATATATGATACACATGAACGATCATTTAATATGTAAACATTTTATTGCACAATTGATGTTTATAACTGATTTCTGCACAAGCCATCCCTAGATCATTTTGCAAGCATTTAGTCAATTATTTGATCTTGCCTGTGATATTGATTTAGAATATATACCACACATGTGATTAAGCAAGTTGATTTGTTTGCCAAATATTATTAATAAATAATTTTCATTGAAAAACACAGTCTATAAGAGATCTTAAGTATAATGAGTATAAGCGATCGTTTGATAAAGTGATCTCTAATATGAAATGCAAGCGATCATTTGATAATTTTGCAAAGAGTCATCTAATTGTTATTGACTGTTATAATGATATACGATATAACTATAAATATATATGTATATAGTATGTGTATGATCAAGCAAATGATTATCATAATGCAAATAAAAGAATATTCCTAAGTATTTGATATTGGATATGATGTTTTCAAAGATAATTTCCAAGCAATTTTATGTATTTATAAAGGAAAAAGTCTTATTAGTGATCTTTAGCGTCATTTGAAATCATTCACAAACGACTTTGTTTTCAGATCTTGGTACAATAAAATGTATTAACTGTATATTATTATTCGATCATATTATCAAATGTATACATAAATATGTATTCATATATATACACAAATTATGATCCATCGGTTTAGCAAAAGAAGTTGTAAATATGTTTTTATTACTTAAGAATTGGTTTTACACTGATAACTAATAAAATATCTAATGAATTGATTAATGATAATGAGCAGGTTTAAAAATGTTAAAGTTATTTTATATTCGATCTCAACAGTATTCTGTATAGAATAACAATACGATAAATAAAATATAAATATTTCTTTATATTATTATTCCATTTTATTTATGAAAAGTATGCACGAATTATGATCGATTGGCAAATATGTTAAATAGAACTTGTAATTATATAATTAATTTTACTTTTGTATACCCTATTCTGAATAAAACTAATCTAGCATGAATCTCTTTAGACGCCACTCACATTTTTGGTGGATGACGTTTTATCTCAATCAGGATGGATTAGCTATTAAGCGCGTAAATGGAGAAATTTGTCAACTTTGTTTGCCTGGGCTCAACTTTGTGCGGTGCATATTAAGTAAATAGGTGTGCATGTGTGTGTGTGTGTGTGTGTGTGTGTGTGGAGCTTCCTCAAATGGCTTCTGCTCTGCAGATAACTCTTTGTTGTTTTTGTAAGCCAAGCCAAATGGCAGTGGGTCCAGCTGTGGAGCTGTGGATCCATGCCAGCAAAAGCCCTCGAACGGCATTTGCTTAGAGAAAGGCACTTGAGCTGAACTTCAACCAACTGTGTATACCCTGTACGCAGAAAGCTCATCAAACAGGGCATAACAATGTTTGGCGAAATACAGAAATATAGCTAAAATATAATAAGCCATAAGCTGAAATTCTAACTAGCTTTGCGCTTAGGTTCTATTGTATTTGGTTGAAGTCTATTTTGCATTTTGTATTTACATTGTATATGCAAATAGTATATCCAAAATTTCAATTGAATTCGTGAAATAATAAAATGGTTATTACAAAAAATGTTTATATTTATGTATGTTGTATTATATTGTTGCATAAGTGCTGAAAAAGTACAGGGTATTTTGCTAGTCAAGCCCACACAGACTCCTCGTGGTTTTTTTTTATTGTTATGGAAAATAGTGCGCAAACGCAAATGCGAGACAGCAAAAAGGCAACGGCAGGGCAGAGAAAATCCACATCCACACAGAGAGCAACAACGGCAACAACAACAACAACAACAACAGCAACAAGAATAACAACAACAACTCGAGCAACAGGCAGCCGTTGGGCGCAGGAAAACAGCAGAAAAGGGCGAAACACAAATGCTGGAAAATATTGTGTGAAAAGTCTCTTCATGTGTGTGTGTGTATGTGTGTGTGTGTGTGTGTGTGTGTGACTGTGTGTGTGTGTCTGGAACAAGTTGAATGCCCTGCTTATGCCTGCATGTTTGCGGGGCTCTAGCCCCAGTTTTGCCGCGGCAATTGCTCGGGTAATGAAGGGTTCTGTGCGCTCCTCGCCTGGCCAGTCAAGTGACACAGCCCAAAGGGAAGCGGAACGGGGTCAGCCGGAGGGGCAGTGTGGGGAAGTTGGGTTAGCCAAGATTAGAAACGTCATCGGCTGCGGTGGTGCTGGTTGGCTGGTGGTTGGTGGACTTGGCAACACTTCACCTGTTGCTCAGGTTCTCAGGATGCCAGCAACAATTGGTCGCTGGTGGCGGATCAGCGCCTGGGAAAGCACTTAAATGGTTTTTCATGCTAAGTCAGCTTTCCCAAGGAAATTGTCTATAGCTCTTGCCTTTGCCGATTGCCAGTTACCAGTTGTTTGTGTTGTTGCCAACTGCGGTTGCATTGAGCAATGCCTCTTGCTTCGATTGGTGGGCTAGTGGTGGGCGGTTGGCGGGGTGTGGGCTGTGGGGGGGCTGCCCCCAGGAAGCTGCTGCCACAACCACAAGCACTGCCGGCATTTGGCTACCCGCTCAGCACCGTATACGTAATTTTGTGCCAAGACCAAGAAGGAATCGCAACCACAGCGCCCAGACTCGATCTGCAACGAGCTCTGAAACCCCATTTGAGCACCATTGCGGCATCTGGCAAATCGGCTGCGAAATTGCTGAAGGAAACGCACGAGTGGTGCAAAAGTGGCGCAGGAGAGAGCCAGAGCCACAGACACAGACACAGTCATAGTCACATTCGCATATGTATGTGCCCTACTCTCTTTTGGTTCATTCAACTTCAGCACAACAGCAGCGAGCAGCAGCTCCAGCTCCACTACTACACTGCGAGAAATCTTATGCCAACTCTAAAGTTTATATTTTTTTGGTTTTCTTGATATTTATATATAACTATAGTATATTCATATTTAATTAATGTCAATCAAATTATTATTTGAAATTATTTTTACAATACAAGAAAGTAAGTAAATATAAAGAAGAGTATCTTGTTTGGCCTGGTTTCATTGAACCAACAATATTCTGTTCTTGAGCTTTTAATTCTTGTGATAGTTTTTTAAGATGAAGTCAAATTTATCAGAGCTATCCAGAAGTTAGCAGCTATTCAACACATGGTTAATATAAACTACTAACGACTATGCAAGCTTTTCATTTTCATAATCTTTATACTTTTGTTTTCTATTTATTGTTGGATATGTTTAATGTTTAATAATTGTATTTTGTATAATCAAAAGTAAATTTTAATAAACAAAAATTTCTATATTTCATCTAAGTTCCCTTACGATTGTCTGGTCTACCAAACAAAAATGTCTTTATTTCATCCAAGTTTCTTTCTGATCGTGTCTGATTTCTCACAGTGTAGCTACAGCAGCTACCTAGCCTAGCTGGATGGCTGCTTGGATGGATAGTCAGTTGGATGGACTGCTGGATGGATTGCTGGATAGATGGTTAGTTGGTTGGTTGGCTGCTTTGGCGCTAGCTGCTTGGCTGACTGCAGCTGGCTGCGCAGTTGCCAGCGACGTCTAATGCCGCAGCCGGCAGCTGGCAGCTAGCTGCTGGAGCCCGGCTGCCAACTGGGAGGTATGACCACACCGAGACGAGAGATCAAGAACCAGAAGGATGGCCAATGGACTTGGCAGCGGGACTGCAGACCGCGTACTGCCGATTGGAAGCGGTGCATTGGCCCGGTTTTGGCGTGGCAGCAACTCAAATTGCAACAGCAGCAGCAACAGTTGCTGCGGCAACAGCATGTTTTACAAATGGATTTCATGTTCAGTGCGTTATGTTTCTTGGAAAGGATTGCTTTGCTTGGCTTGTCATGGCCAAGTCTGGACTTGAAAAAAAAAAAAGTAAATAAATAAAATGCGACACGAGTCGTAAACATGAAACATTCAAATGCACAAATGCGGCTCAGGAAGCGCTGCGGCCATCGCTTATTTGGTAGCTGCCACAAATGTTTGCCACATGAATGCGGCCAGTCGAGATCCTGCCACCAGCAGCCACCTTGGTGGTCAGCTGGGCGCCAATGCACTTTGATGTGCTGCTGCCGCTGCTGCTGCTGCTGCTGCTGCTGCTCCGGGGTCAATTGTCAAAGCCATAAAAACTGTTAACAAAATGCTACCGCGTCGTCTTACTCCTTTTTTTGTTCTTGTTTTAGCCAGGAGCAGAGATAATATATAAAACGCAATCAAAATATATTTTTTATGGCCTTTCCCACAAAATGCACGGCAAGCGCATGTTTTATGTGCAAAGGCAACTGCGTAGGGTTAATTAGGCTGGACCTCAACCTTTCGCTGAGAAAATTTCAAAGGAAAATGTTGAAATGCAAGAAGATGCAAGCGATAAACAGCAGCAGCAGCAGCAGCAACTGTTGCTGTTGCCACAGACAGTAGCAGCAGCAAGAACAACACACAAAATTGATATAAATTCAGGCTGAAATTTCATTAATTCTTGACGTCGGCACAAAACGGGCAGAGGCCATAAAATATTCAAATATCGCGCACGGCCTCATATGCTCACATATATAAATTAAAACGAATTGCAATAAAAATTCAACTCCCGTTTCA